AAAACAGTTAAATGTACAGGGCTTATTTATTTTGAGGATATGTGGTGTTTCTCAACTCCCACGATGTGTAACAGGGAGACTAGATGGAGCCAAGAAGGCATTCCTGGGCCAGGGGCCTTGTACTAGGAAATACTATTCCTGGACGTTTCATCACCTTCGAAAAAGTTAAAATATCCATGATTTTCAGTTTTCTCTTGAGGGAAGCATAAAGTGGGATCTTTATTCTACATGACCTTTTAGATTGCTTCCAGAGCTCCCTAACATTCCACCTGTCTAGAAAATGTGCCCAACATCTCATGTTACTTCCATGAGGGTTTATAAACTATCAAAGGCTTCCTCCGTTGAAACAATTGTAGAAATGGTACAAGACTCACATTCTTGAGTATGAAAGTAAGGGTTTGTGATAGTTCCACAGAGAAAAAGATGGGTAATCTTTCAAATACGTTTATAGAGAATGCACAAATGAAACTGTTCATTTCTTCTCACATATTTGGCCCCCTGCCAAACTCACTGATAATGTACATGGAGAACCTCGAATGTGGTTAACCGTACAAAAATGATTCTCCCATCACTAAAGATCCATGTCACTATGGAGATTCTGTTACACATTCTTTTGTGTTAATTTTTTTTCACTAAACTGAAAGAAGCATAGTTGCTGGTGATGTGTTGTCTTCTTGTGACATCGTCAAGACTTGATATAACCGATGTCTTGTTTGAATTGCCTACTTAGTACGAGGTGACACTAGAAAAGAAGACCAACCAAGTCCATGACAGGGAACTGAGGTTAGACTGCCTGGAAAGCAGAGATCAAGTGCTATTCTGGACTTTTCATTGGGTTCTTTATTGTTTTATCAAAACTGTTGCCCTCCTGACTAGTCGCCACCCTTCCTCTCTACCCCCTTCATGGGAAATTGCACTCCATGGATTTCATAGGCTAGAAATTAATTTGTGTGGCATATCACCTATTGTTATAACTATTAATGCATATCCAGTGGTAAAGTTGTATTTATTTTTGAGAAGGCTGATGTCAGGAGATTGTAAAGTATAGATAATGATTGATCAAGGAATTTGAAATTGCAAGATATTGGTAGATATGTTAATAGAATTACAGAAAAATGTGTAATTTTCACTTTGAGCAATTTTTAGTATAACATTTTTATAAAACACAAAGTGTTAAAGGCCGAAAGCTCAGACCCACTGAATGTATATTTCCCATTTATTGTGCTGTGTTATAATAGTCAAAACTGGTCTACAGTTTTTTATAGGAATATAATTTTCTTACCTTGTTTTCACTGTAACACTAATGGTCGATTTTAATAAATAGCTCAAATAATCTAGGAAGCAGGGTACTCATGCTTTTTTACAAAGTTTTCTGATA